ACATACAACCGTGAGCGTTGGTGGATCTGGATGGTTGGTTAGGTGGCTCTGCTGATCTCGGCTGAACTTGATCACGTGTTTGGGAGGCAGCTGGTTGATGGCTGATCAAGCTTCAATTCAACTTTGCCCCAAATGTTTCTCATCATCCAGCAGGCTAGCCAGGACATACTCTCATGGAGATGGCGCTGGGTGTGATGGTACATGCCTGTAGTACCACCTACTCCAGAGGCTGAGGCAGGAGGATCCTTGAGGCCAGGATGTTGAGGCTGCAGTGAGCCATGATTGTGTCTCTGCACTCCAGCCCTGGGAGACAGAGCAAGATCCTGTCTCTTTAAATTAATGGATAAAAATTTTTTAAATATCATGGAGATGGCAGCGGTCTAAGGGAGCAAGCTCCAATGCAAGAGACACTTCAAGCCTGTGGGGCATTCCTGCTAATAGCCCACTGGCCAAAACAAAGCACGTGGCTGAGTCAATGTCCAGAGCTGGGGTAGATCAATGCACCTGCTGTGAGAAGGCACTGCAGAGTCACATGACAACGGGCACAGATGAAAGAAGGGGTGAGACTTGTCGCCATCCACACGAACTGCCATGGGTAGGGATGGATTAGAATCGTTTTCACCAGGCGCAGTGGCTCATGCCTGTAATCCCAGCATTTTGGGAGGCTAGAGTGGGTAGATTGCTTGAGTCCAGGAGTTCAAGACCAGCCTGGACAACATAGCAAGACCCCCGTCTCCACAAAAAAACTACAAAACTTAGCCAGTCACAGTGTTTCGTGCCTGTAGTCCCAGCTACTGGGGAGGCTAAAGCAGGAAGCTCACTGCTCCTGGGACGTCCAGGATGTAATGAGCCACGACTGTGCCACTGCACTCTAGCCTGGGTGACAGAGTGAAACCTGTCTCCAAAAAAAAGAGAATCATATTCTTGAAAAGGAAAGATGTGTTATCGACAATATGCATCCATTTGGACTGAGAGAAAATGTTCACTGGCAATACCAAGCTAATGCCAAGCCACTTTCTGCCTTCACCTGTCAAAACAGTTAATAGACCAAAGATCAAGGGAAAAATTTTCCCCAGCTTTATCAAAGTACGATTGACAAATAAACCTTGTATTAATTTAAGGCATACAACATGATGTTTTCAGGTAAGTATACATTGTGAAATTAGCTCCCTAATCAAGCTGTATCATCACTTCACATATTTACCCTTTTTTGTTAAAACTCTTAAAAGATCTCTATTAGTGGCCGGACGCAGTGGCTCACGCCCGTAATCCCAGCACTTTGGGAGGCCGAGGCGGGTGGATAGCCTGAGGTCAGGAGTTCGAGACCAGCCTGGCCAACACGGCAAAACCCTGTCTCTAGTAAAAATACAAAAATCAGCCAGGCATGGTGGCACGTGCCTGTAATCCTAGCTGTTAGGGAGGCTGAGGCAGGAGAATCACTTGGACCCGGGAGGCAGAGGTTGCAGTGAGCCAAGATCGCACCACTACACTCCAGCCTAGGCAACAGAGCAAGGCTGTCTCTAAAAAAACATTTTTTTTTTTTTTTTGGTAGAGATAGGAGTCTCACCGTGTTTCCCAGGATGGCCTCAAACTCCTGGCCTCAAGTTATCTGCCTGCCTCAGTCTCCCAAAGTGTTAGGATTACAGGTGTGAGCCACCATGCCTGACCAAGAATGCTTTTCAAGTAAACCCCTCCCTAACCAACATTAGCCCACAGCCACCTCCTGCCTGCCTTCTTGGCGTGGCCTCCACTTAAGGCCCTAAGCGCGCGGCAGAATTCAGCCTCAGAAAGCAGGAGGTCAGGAACTGCAGGCCCCAGCAGCCATGCCTTGGCTGTGTTTGGGCGGTTGCCACGCATGCTGGGGAGAGATTCTGCTCTGTGCAATTCGGCCGCGCATCAGCTGGTCCTGTGCCAGGCCCACACTCAGGCCCGTCTGTCAGGGTGGCACCTGGCCCTCTCGCAGAAACAGATGGTTTCTATTGATCTTTCCTTGCTGGTGTTTTCTGCATTAACACTCCAAACCGGCCCAGCTTAATCCTGGAACTTAATGGAATCCTCACATGCTCTAGTTTCCTCTATGTTTTCCCCGTAGCCAAATTGTTTTTCTTTCTACCTTCCTTTATTTTTAAAGTTTTTACTTTTCTGTAATAGTAGAATTATAAATGGATTTGTATATACAGAGGGAAAGATCAATAGCTTGTATTTTCGAGGACAAAATGTAACTTCACAGCAAAGTGAAGACAATTACGAAAAAATCATTTGTTTTTCCATTTCACAGGTCTCAACATACAGCTTATCTCACATCCCTAGACCAAACCAACCTTCACCTCCCTGGAGGCAGGAGGCTCAGCCTAACAAAACCTTTCAGGGTACAGAGAAAATAGGAAGGCCCATCCTTTCCTTTGTAGTGGCCCAGAGGACAATATGGATTGAAAAGTTTTGTTTTTAAAGAAAAGGCATGACTTCCAGGCAGCTAAATGTTACAGACGTTTCAAAGGCAAGACAGCACTGCCACCCTGAGGTTCCAGCTGCGGAGGAGACAAGTATCTCTGGTGACCTGGCCAGAGGAGAGCAGGGCACCTCCCCCGTGCTTGGGCCGGCTGATCTCTGCGTGCAACCCAGCTTTGTGCAGGTTTAGCTTTGGCTAGTGAGGCTGCCCAGCCGCACCCAGCAACGTGCAAATCACAGCCTTAGTTGGGCACTCCTTCTGCTGTGTGCCTGAGATGCCAGTGTTAGAGTACATAAAAGGGGAGGAAGGGCTGGGCGCGGTGGCTCACACCTGTAATCCCGGCACTTTGGGAGGCTGCAGCGGGCAGATCACCTGAGGTCAGGACCAGCCTGGCCAATATGGTGAAACCCTGCCTCTAATTAAAGTACAAAAATTAGCTGGGTGTGGTGGCGCATGCCTGTAAACCCAGCTGCTTGGGAGGCTGAGGCAGGAGACTCATCTGAACCTGGGAGGTGGAGGTTGCAGTGAGCTGAGATTGCGCTACTGTACTCCAGCCTGGGCAACAGAGACTTCATCTCAACAAAAATAAAAGTGGGGGGAGGGGGCCAGGGAAGGAAAGAAAACCTAGGAGCAAATACTTGAATATGCACAGACTAACTCTGGCCAATAGAAATACACTGCAAGACACAGATGTGATTCCAAATTTTATAGTAGCCATTTGTTGTTGTTTGGATAGAGTCTCCCTCTGTCACAGACTGGAGTGCAGTGCTGAGATCATGCCTCACTGCAGCCTCGACTTCCCAGGCTCAAGCAACCCTCCCACCTCAGCCTCCCAAGTAGCTGGAACTACAGGCTTATGCCACCATGGCTGGCTAGCTTTAGTTTTTTTGTAGACACGGGGTCTCACTATGTTGCCCAGGCTGGTCTTGAACTCCTGGGCTCAAGCCATCCTCCCTGCCTAGGCCTCCCAAAGTGCTGGGATTATAGATGTAAGCCACCATGCTTGACATAGTTTTTGAATGTAAAAAGAAACAGGTGAAAATAATTTTAATAACATTTTATTTAACTCAGTACATCCAAAATATTATCATTTCAACATGTAATCCATATGAACTGTTATTAATGAAACATTTTACATTCTGGTTTTTGTACTAAGTCTTTGAAATCCAGTGTGTATTTTATACTTCCAGTACATCTCAATTTGGAAGAGCTGAGAGCTTGCTAGTCACACGTGGCTGGCTAGTGGCTGCTTTATTGGACAGCACATGCCTGGGGTTTTCTGGAAGGGGACTCCAGAAACAGTTTTAACGGGGGTGGCCTCTCCGGAAGAGAACTAAGAGAGACTAAGGGGGAAGGGATGACAAGGTTACTTTTAACCGTAAAGGCTTTTATATTGCTTGAATTATGTGCCAAGTATATGGGTTGCATATTAAAAACACACACACACAAAGGAAAATAGGCACCGTCCTACACTCTTGGCAAGAGTATGTGCCGATCCCACATTCTGGAGGGGAATTGGCACAATTCTACATCTAGAAAGGTAGTTTAAAGAAATGAATCAGCCAGGCACAGTGGCTCACTCCTATAATCCCAGCACTTTGGGAGGCCGATGGGAGCAGATCACCTGAGCCCAGTTCGAGACCAGCCTGAGCAACATAAAGAGACCTCGTCTCTGAAAAAGAAAAGAGAAAAAGAAATGACTAGACAAGAGAAGCCAGTATATTAGGAAAAAGGATGCTCACCTCAGCATCTTAATTCCTACTGCAACATTGAAAACATCCTAAGCGTCATAAACCGATGTGCAGTGAAACTGCACCCTCTGGAGGGGGTGCCTTCTAAAGACAGGCAATCAGAGATTGAAATCACCAACAGTCAAAACTGCCTTTGAAAATAACACAGGACAGCGATGTAGTGGAGGCTCAGCACTAAATTCTGTACAGCCAGTTCACTGTTTCTCAGAGTGAGTCCCAGATGCAGTAATTTGCTCACATGTAGGGGCCATACTGTGAGAAATATGTGCCCTAGACACTAGTATCACTTGGCAAGATTGGAGAGAGACATTTGAATTGAAAGCAACTGAGGAAATAGAAGACTCGTGGCTTCCATCTCATGTTCATTCCTTGAGCGAACTGGTGAGCAAAATCACCCCTATTATTTCAACTGTTGCCTCTTGCTCTTCAAAGTGTATACAGTGCAATTGACATATTTTAAAGGGGCTGATGATGTGACTCTGCTGCATATTGACATGTAACTATAAAGAAAACAGATGGAAAGGTACACCCCAAACATTGTGTTTTTTAATAAATGATTTTTCCTTTTTTGTTTTCATGTGTGCATATTTATCTCTATTTTTACATTTTTCTCCAACGAACAGCCTGAGAGTGAATTCTGGATTCCTTCTGGAATAGAAAAATAATTGTTTTAAGTCAGTGCTTGCCCACCACAAGGTAGCCCACCAAAGCTGAAGAGTTACAGGTTCCTCTGGATCCCCCCAGGGCCTCCTAAAAAGGGAAAGTGTTGTGTTCTCTCCTTCAAGCCCAGGGCACATTCTATTGCCACCACAGTCAAAGGGACTTGGGAGGCATTAGAGATGGTGCTGGTGCTTCCAGAAACTGCAGTCCTGCTGTGGCCCCCTGAAGACAGCAGCTCCCCTGCCCTAACATGATGCCATTACCCCCTGGGGTTCAAAAAATATGAGAAACATCTACTGCAGAGAGGCTCCCCACTCTGGGGACCCAGCTACCTCATCCCTTCTCCTGAGGCCTTCTGTCACCACCCCACTGCCATGCCACACTTGGAGCTAGGAGCTAGCGCAGCTGACCTACCAGCCTTGACACAGCAGGACAGACCTCAGTAGACACAGGGCACCTTTCAGAGGAACAAGCAGAGCCTCAAAACACGCAGTTAGGTGCAGGTTGAAAGCGTGAAACGATCTCTTGCAGCAACTTGCTGCCATTTCCAGTCAGCAGGCTCCCCCCTTGGAACATGCTAACGAGCATCACCCCCAGGTACCCTTGGCTCACCTGGAGCCTACAGCATCTCACTGACTGTGCAGAGCGAGCCTCCAGTGGGGCGTTGTCACTCCTACTTGACAGGCGAAGGAAGCCAGGCTCCGGGAGACAAATGAACTCACCTAAGTGTCTCAAGGTGGGCTCCCCGGGAAGGAGACTCCTGGGGCAGAGTTGAGCCTGCAGGATGTTGATTAAGTACTTTCGGAAAGGAGGAGAATGAACTGGGGGAGCAGAAGGGAGGGAGGGTGGGTGTTGGAGTCAGCTGTGATGCGGGCTCTGTGACAGCCTCAGGCATCCCCATGGGAAGCTCTGGAGCAAGACTGGCTTTTCAGAGTTGTCCTGAGTTGGGTCAACACATGGCTGGATTTTTCAGCTCTGAGCGGTCAATGAATGGGGACTTCCCTGGAAGGCAATGACCTTGATGAGGCGCTCTCTGGAGCTGCTAAGGGCTGAGGGTGTCTGCACAGCCCTGCCGATACAGAGGGATGGGAGCAATGCATCCTTCCTTGAAGGGGGATCACAGTGACCACTGTTAAAATGCATGCTCTAAATGAAGAGACCCCCCAAACAGGCTTTGTGTGAGCAACATGGCTGTTTATTCACCCAGGTGCGGGTGGGCTGAGTCTGAAAGAGTCAGTGGAGGGCAGTGGGATAGGAGATGGTTTAATAGGTTTGGGGTAGGCAGTGGAAAGTTACAGAAGTTATGGTTTAGGGTGGTTTTTTGCAAGCTGGAAGGGGGTCATAGGTTTGCAAGCTGGGAGTGGGCTGTTGGGGGGGAGTCACGAGTTGACCAAGGTCAGTTACAAAGTCCAATGGCCTTGTCAATTGAGGCCGGAATAAGAAACAATAGAAGAATGTCTCAAGTTAGTTAGGCGCTGCAGGGGTTGATCGTTTTTCCATTTTTCATGGTCTTCAAGTCATTTCAGGTTTTCTAATTCCAGAAGGCCCTCCAAAGGTGTATGTGAAGGCCACAGAGGTTACCATGCCATCCACGGCACAGTCAGACCTTACAACCACCACACCAAGGTCACCTAGCTAATGAGTGAGCCGTCATTGAGAGCAAGCAATTTATCAGTGCTTTCTGCTCTGCTACTGAGTTAAACTGCCTCCTCTGAGCTTCAACTTTCACAGCAGCTCTGGCCCTCCTCCTAGGCTAGGTCCTCTCTCTCAGACCTTCTAGAAAAGATCAAGTCCCTTTTGAAATCTAGATAACAGTGCCATTCCAGCTACATGCAACCTAGGCCAAGTCTCAGGAGTTCCCTGACCAGCTAGCTATTCCAGTTTCTGAGGCTTCAAGATCTTTCACTTGCGCCCCAATTAAGCCAAACATAGCAACTTCTTCCTCTTTAGCTCAAGGGTGAGCCACTCTGCCCCCTACCCACCATCACCACCATGACCTCTGCAGCCTCCTTCAGCCCCACCTCATTCTTCAGCAGTTTTATGAAATGTTGTTTCTAAATGAATCGGCGCAGGAACAGAAAGCCAAATACTGGCCAGGCACAGTGGCTCATTTCTGTAATCCAAGCACTTTGGGAGGCTAAGCCGGGCTGATCACCTAAGGTTGGGAGTTCGAGACCAGCCAGGCCAACATGGCAAAAACCCTGTCTCTACTAAAAATACAAAAATTAGCTGGACGTTGTTGGTGGGCACCTGTAATCCCAGCTACTTGGGAGGCTGAGGCAGAAGAATCGCATGAACCAGGAAGGTAGAGGTTGCACTGAGCCTAAATCACACCAGAGCGAGACTGTCCCAAACAAAAAACAAAAACGAACAAACAAAAAAGGCTGCTTCTAAGTGAATCAGTGCAGGAACAGAAAGCCAAATGCTAAATGGGAGCTAAACATTGAGTACACATGGTCACAAGGAAGAGGACAACAGACACCAGGACCTACTTGAGGGTGGAGGGTGAGAGGAGAGAGAGGATTGAAAAACTATTTATCGGGTGCTAATGCTCATTACCTGGGTGACAAGATAATCTGTACACCAAATCCCCATGAGAAACAATTTACCCTTGTAACAAACCTACACATGCACCCCCTGAATCTAAAATAAAAGTCGGAAAGAAAACAAAAAGGCTGTAATTATCCAAAGGAGTTTTACCAAAACCTAAGGAAATTCACAAGGGAAACGAAGAACACTGGCAGTGCATAGTGGCAATTCGTAAATATAGTTTTCTCATCCGGTGGTAGCTTACCAGGCATCAGTGAGCTGAATCAAAATCCTGACTCAGAGACACCCCTTTTCTTTTTCTTTTCTTTCTTTTTTTAAATATTTTTTTGACACCGAGTCTCACTGTTTCCCAGGCTGGAGTGCAGTGATGCGATCTTGGCTCACTGCAGCCTCCGCCTCCCAGGTCAAGTGATTCTCATGTCTTAACCTCCCAAGTAGCTGGGACTATAGCCATGCACCACCAGGCTTGGCTAATTTTTGAATTTTTAATAGATACAGGGTTTTACCATGTTGGCCAGGCTGGTCTCGAACTCCTGACCTCCAAGTGATTCACCTGCCTCGGCCTCCCAAAGTGCTGGGATTACAGGTGTGAGCCACCACGCCTGGCTCCCTTTTCTTTTTCTTTTCCATTTTTTTTTTTTGTGTGTGTGACAAGATCTCACTCTGTCACCCAAGCTGAAGTGCAGTGGCCTAATTATGGCTTCCTGCAGCCTCCACCTCCTGGGCTCAAGGGATCCTCCCACTTCAGCCCTCCCCCGGCCCCCGGAGCTGGGACTATAGGCTTCAGCATCTCAAACAGCTGGGATTACAGGTATGTGCCATCACACCCAGCTAATTTTTTAAAAATATATATTTTGTAGAGCGGGGGGTCTCACTGTGTTGCCCAGGCTGGTCTCAAACTCCTGGGCTCAAGTGATCCTCCCACCTCAGCCTCCCAGTGTTGGTATTGCAAACCTGAGCCACCGCACCCAGGCGAGATGCCCCTTTTCACTTCTCAAGAGTGTTTGTGTGTGTGTGTGTGTGTGTGTGTGTGTGTGTGTGTGTGTTTTGAGACAGGTCTTGCTCTGTCACCGAGGCTGCAGTGCAGTGGCACAATCACAGCTCACTGCAGCCTTGACCTCCTGGGCTTAAGTGATCCTCCCACTTCAGCCCCCCAGTAGCTGGGACTATAGGCATGCATCGCCACACCCAGCTAATTTTTGCATTTTGCATAGACAGAGTTTTACCATATTGCCCAGGCTGCACTTCTAGGGTTTTTATGCCCCCTCCTCACCTACAACCAGCCACACAGGGCAGGAGTTAGTGGGCCACTCATTCCTGTAGCCCATCTGGAGGTGAGTGACACAGAAGACAACCCACACAGGCAAAAGCAGGCCAAATCATACCCCTCACCCTTCCTTAGGGGAGGACTGTTTCCTTCCTTCCTTCCCTCCCTCCCTCCCTTCCTTCCTTCCTCCCTCTCTCCCTCCCTCCTTCTCTCTCTGTGTCTCTCTTTCTCTCTTTCTTTCTGAGTTTCACTCTTGTCGCCCAGGCTGGAGTGCAATGGTGCAATCTTGGCTCACTGCAACCTCCACCTCCTGGGGTCAAGTGATTCTCCTGCCTCAGCCTCTCAAGTAGCTGGGATTACAGGCATGTGCCACCAAGCCCGACTAATGTTTTGTATTTTTAGTAGAGACGGGGTTTGGACATGTTGGTCAGGCTGGTCCCAAACTCCTGACCTCAGGTGATCCACCTGCCTCAGCCTCCCAAAGTGCTGGGATTACAGGTGTGAGCCACCGCGCCCAGCCCTGAGGACTGTTACTTCATTTGGAGAGAGCAGGATTCTGGGATGCAAATGCACACAGCAGTGGCTTGGGAACGGTGTTCTCGCTGGCTGGAGACTGGAAGGAAGTGAGTGGATTGGGGGAAGAGCATTGATGTAGGAGCTGAGGGACAAAGGAAACGAGAAGAGGCAGAAATAGGTTAGCGATGGACAGGGATGGCGGCAGCCTTTGTTAGAATCCCACTTGTCCTGCCAAGTATATTAGTCCACTGAAACAAAGGACCACACACTGGCTGGCTTCACCATCAGAAGTGTATTATCTCAGTTCTGGAGGCTGGCAGTCTAGCTCGAGGTGTCGGCAGGGTTGGTTCCTCCTGAGGGCTATGAGGGGAATCTGTTCCATGCTTCTCCCCTAGCTTCTGGTGGTTTTCTGGCAACCTTGGGGGTTCCTTATCTCACAGAAGCATCACCCCCATCTCTACCTTCACCTTCTCATGGTATTCTCCCTATATGCATGTCTTTGTCCAAATTTCTCCTTCTTATAAGGACACCAGTTACATTCGGAGGTACTGGGGGTTAGGGTGCTAACCTAGTAGGCTGGTGCAAAAGTAATTGCGGTTTTTGCTACTGAGAGTAGTGGCAAAAACCACAGTTTTTTTTCGCCACCATGTTTCACCAACATGGTGAAACCACGTCTCTACTAAAAACATAAAAAAGTTTTGCGATTACTTTCAGTGGCAAAAACCACATTTAATTTTGCACCTTTGCACCAACATCATATCTTTTGGTGGGGGGAGGGACAGAGTTCAACCCCTAACACCTACTGATTCCAAACGTAGAGTGTGAGTGTCCCTGGCTTTTGTCTACGCAGCATGCCTGGCTATCTTCTTCTGGTAACAGCACTCCCCTAACTTTAGAATGAATCCTTCAGGCTGGACACAGTGGCTCACCCCTGTAATCTCAACAAAGGGAGGTAGGGGCGGGAGGATACTTTACACCCAGAAGTTTGAGGCTTGCCTGGGCAACACAGAAAGACTCTGTTCTCCAACAAAAAGGAAAAACAAAAAGCAAATTTAGCATGAATCTTTTCTTTCTATACTGCTACCAATAACATGACCCCATCCTCCCATTATAGGGATGGGCACGTGATCCAAGGTGGCCAATCCAACTCTCTCTCAGTCTCTCTAGGTTCTGTAGTTTTAAAAATACTTCTAGTGTGTGGATGGGGAAGGAGACTAGGCCTGTTTGCTCTTAGGGAAGTCCTCTACAATGACATACCTAGATTGTTAGAGGTCCAGGGTGACTATGGCTGGGGGAAACAGCCTGGCTTTGAAGTTTGAACCCCAACCTCCTCATTAACTGGCTGATTCAGTTTTCCATGTTGCAGTTTTCTCATCTATAAAATGTAATAACAACAGTGATATTTCTGTCAGAGCACTCTTACAAGGATCACATAGGTGAGAATATGTAGGAATAGTCTATACACATATTTATCATTAGAAAGACAAAAATTTAGGAATAAGGGAGCCAAGGAGTAAAAATTTGTCCATATCAGCCCAGGTGCAGTGGCTCATGCCTGTAATCCCAACTTTGGGGAGTCGAGGCAGATGGATCACCTGTGGTCAGGAGTTCGAGACCAGCCTGGCCAACATGGTGAAACCCCACCTCTACTAAAAATACAAAAAGTAGCCTGATGTCTTGGTTCATGCCTGTAATCTCAGCTACTTGGGAGGCTGAGGCAGGAAAATCACTTGACCCCAGGAAGCCGAGGTTGCAGTGAGCTGAGATCGCACCACTGCACTCCAGCCTGGGTGACAGAGGGAGACTCTGTCTCAAAGCAAAACAAAACAAAAACAAAAACAAAAATAAAGAATTTGTATATATCTAAGCAGTCCTGTCTTAGAGATCTTGCCTCCTGCCTTGCTGTCACTGCTCCCCTCCATCTTGCAGTTAGGTGGGTCCATATGATTGATCCTGCACACTGGTTTGTGATCTGAAATGACATGCGTCACTTCCCAGCTCAGAGTCAGTGTGGGACTGCACAAGGG